TCACAAATTGCCAAGACTTGATCATATCAGCACAATCAGGATGCACAAGGAAAAGATGAGTCACCTCCGCTATATCTTCATCAGAATCAAACCAGAACAGGTAACCACGTGATTGTGCCTGGTGTAGCAGCTGCTGTATAGGGGTCCTTCCCTCTGACCGTTCAAACCTGAGTTGTTGTCTGACGTTGTAGATGTGTCTTCGGTTTGGATGGTCTTCTGGAAATTTCTCTAACACAGATGCTAATATTTTAGCAGGCTTGACTTTAGCATCACTCATTTCTTTCACAACTAGTTTCGCAGCAGGACTTAAGCCGCTCAGCTGTCGATGACCCTCTTCATATACTATCATCTCATGGTTGTGATACCCCTATTTAGAGTAACCAATCACTTCCCAACCGTCACGACTCCGTAGTTGTCGAACCTTTACTCTGAACTCACACCCACAACCTTTCCGCTTTGTATCAAACCGAGTGGCTGTACGAAAATCTATTTCTTCTCTTTTGCGATAACGGTCACATCTCAAAATGCGATCCATTCTACCATCCCGTTGAGATTTATGAGTTACTACTACCAAGCAAATTCCAGATGCAATTGCAACCTATTTTGCCCAATCAATCGCTTGTTGAGCTTCTTCGAATGGACCATCATGTCCAAATATCCCACTGTAATCATTTCCGTCTCCACCATAATCCTGCATCAATTATATATTATAACAAATACATTTAACGGATAATACATTTAATTTCTATATTTACACAGAATTAACACAAAAAAAAACATAATTATGTATAATATTATTCATACACATACACATGCAAATTTTAAACACAATCATTTATAAAAGTCACATAAACAATTAAATATTTTGGTATACATTAACACAAATCTACTCACTACATACATAAAAACATTAAATTATTAAACATAATTTAAAAAAAACACCGTTTTGAATTTTCAATTTGAATTAAATTAAAAAAAAAAAAAACCATTTCCAATTTTTTTAATACAATTTCGAATTGTCAAACTTAATTTAAAAAAAAAACCTTTCTCAACAATCAAACTTAATTTTTAAAAAAACCCAATTCGAATTTTCAAACTTAATTTAAAAAAATACCATTTCGAATTTTCAAACTTAATTTTAAAAAAACCTATTTCGAATTTTCAAAATTAATTTTAAAAAAACCCATTTCGAATTTTTAAAAAAAATCATTTTCAATTTTTTTAAAAAAAAATAAATAAAAATAAATAAAAAACAACAACTAAATCAAAAAAGAAAAAAAAAAAAATAGGGTGGCGTCTGCCAGGGCCGCCACAGCCACTGGACTGGCGCCTGGCACGGCCGCCTCAGCCAATGGAGTGGCGCTTGGCCAGGACGCCTGTCTGGTGGTCTGGGCGTCTGGGCTGGACGCCGGTGTGGTGGTTCTGGCGTCTGGCTTGGACGTCCATGCTACGGTAAGGGCGTCCATCCTAGGCGCCGGAGCCACTCCTACGATAAACCGTGAATTTTAACGGTGACTTACCTCATTTTCTGTCGATGACGACGTACCTCCGGCGTCCCCCGCATCTCCGGCCTGCCCTCCGGTCTCCCCCGGCGAGCCAGTACGGCTCCAAATTTTTTAAATCGAAATATGTTCAATTTTAGAAAATGGGCATAATTGTCATACCAAGTCATATTTGTGGGCTTTATATGGTAATTTGCGGGCGATGTTTAACAAATCCCTTTTTTTTTACAAGAACTTAAATACAAACTTAATACAACATTACAATAGCAAACAATAGCAAAATAAATTATTAAACGTAAACTTAACACAGCATTGAAATACAACAACATTAATTAAACTTAAACTTAAACTTAAAATATAATCGTACCCGAAAATAAAACATTACACTTAAAACTAGTGTTTATTAACTTATACCTTTCGACCACACACTTGTTGGATTAAATCTTCATTGCATGCCTCTTCAGCAGGGGTCAGCGGTGTAATCTTGGCTAAAAAAAGCTTGTAGCAGATCAAAATTCATCATCCTCTCTTGTAATTCAACTTGTTTTTGTTTTCTCTTTTCCTTTTCATTGTCAAGTTCCAACCTCTGTTGTTTCAGAATCGTCTCCCTTTCTCTAATTTCAGTACACGCCTTCATTTGTTCACCACTGGTAAAAAATGCACTCTCAGAAGCCACCGCTTTACCCCTACGCTTAGCCTTTGCTTTTTCTACACCGTCGAGTCGTGTTGGACCTCCTGATGAAAATCCTTCATTAGGGACTTCATCCGCAACTTCAGCCCTAGACCTCTTCCCACTTCCACTACTATCTTCCTCGTCATCAACACCACAAGCCTTTCTTTCCTCCTTTGACAAAGCCCATCTTAGCTTTGTCCTCCACTTTGGATCATCCTTAACCATTTCAACTCCGTGAGGAAAAGTAAAATTGTGACTAATAGAGATATGAAACAACTTGGATGCATTTTTAATTCGGTCAGCTTCATTGTAACCACTTCAACTTTCCGAAAGTTTACCCGCTTCCTCATAGCAAGATTTCCACTATAGTATATCTACTGCCATTCCTCTCCAGTGCGACTCCAAACTCTTCAAAGCTCTTGGCAGGATTATATGTGCCTTCTCCGCTTGAGCTTTGTTATATGCCTCATGTACTTTTCGCCAAAACTCAGATGCTTTTTGGTTCGTACCAACAATTCCACATTCACTTATTTTTAAATACAAACCAATTAGAGTTTCATCCTCTGCAACTGACCAAATGCGACTTGCTTTAGCGAGTGGAATTCTTGGAGTGGTTGGAGGGTATTGAGGTGTCTCCAGGACATTTTCTTCTTGGCTGTCAGAATATTGAGAGTTGCTTCCTTGATAAACTGGAGGTGTTTGTTGTTCATAGTAAGTGTTTTCATGTTGATTTTCTACTGGTGTTTGTTGTGGTAAACGATTTTGTAAAGATGTGTTTCCTAATCTTTGTATGTAGGAAAAGTTGAAATTGGGGAGTGGTGAGGAAGTCATCACCTAAATCAGCAAAGTATTGAGAAATTTGAGAGAAATTAGAGCATGCACAATGGTGGGGATTCATGAATCCCCTTAATTCTTCTCTCTCATTCTCTCCTTTTGACACATCATTTCTCTTTCTTCCACATCATTTTCCACTATCTCCATCCTCTTCCGCTTCCTCTTTCTTTATTTTTTCCCACAACAAAGGGGATTCATGAATCCTCTTCCTTTCTATTTATGCCCCACCATCTTCTATTAAATTAGATATTTGCAAATTTAATATGACAAATTATTATAATTAGATTAATGACAATTTTAATATATTACAAAAATGTACAATTAATGATAATTTAAAATGCATAATTTAAATATGGAGAAAATATGGAGAAAATGAAGATTTTGAAAACATGGCAAATTTAGGTTCATTTTATAGAGAAAAAAAATATATAACCGTTGGTGTTTTTTTTTAAAAATAAGTTACCGTTTTTTTTATTACCGTTTGAATAATTATAACCGTTGTAAATGTCAACCAATTAGAAAACAACAAATGTCAGCAAAAGCAAGCAACACGTGGGCCCCTGCCAGCCAGCAGGAAGCTGCCACGTTGCACTTGCTGGTCCAGCCTTTTCTTTTAACTTTTTTTTTTTTTTGTCACGTTTCCCCACCTTTTCCAATCCCCTTCCCCATCTCTTCTTCCTCTTCCCAGGGAGCATTCACCATCTTCCTCTTCCTAAGAGGATTCACCATTTCAACTCTACAATCAAGGGGATTCCTCTTAAGAGGAGAGAGAAGGCTAAGAAGAGGGTGACTCCCTACCATTGTGCATGCTCTTAGGGTTGTTGGGATCCATTAGATTGTACTATAAAATAACAATATTAATAATTACTTAAAATTATTCGAACGAAACAACAACAATTTTTTATAATTAATAAATTGTTAAAGAGTAATTAAAAAAATAGACTTAACAAAAATATAATAACTTTAATATAAAATATATAAATAGCTTTAATAATAATTTAGATGATAAAAAGAAAATTAATTTTGTAATAGAATTGGGAGATAATTAAATATAGAGGATTTTTATGATTTTTGTAAGTGCACTAAAATATATGAAAATGGATGTCAATTTATAAAGGAAAATATTTTATAACCGTTGGTAATTTTTTTTTAAACATGACAATCAATTTTTAAACTAATAATCGTTGCAAAATAGTGCTACATTATAATTGGCCCTCAGCGCTGACAGGTCACGTGTCAGCGCCTCATTGGGCATGCTGACGCGCCATGTCAGCTAGTAACTTAAATTTTTTTTGCTGACCGCACCTCCACAACGACGAGTTTTGAGGTGGCGTCCGCGGCAAGAACAACAACCCGCAAAACTCGTCATTTTGAAGTGCAGCAAGCAAAAAAAAGTTAAATGAGTAGCAAGTGGTGGTGGAGCCCACCTACTACTGTTCATCCGCATTTTCCTCACGCCACGAGAATAATCAGTTTTCCTCATGAGGAAAAACCAACTTCCTCATTGCTGGGATGTCCATGAGGAAAATTTTTCTCATGAGGAAAATTTTCCTTAATGTCGTGATTGCTCTAATACTTTGTATATAGACGCTCGACCTAAATTGTACCATCAAAAATCTCCAAAAGGAACACACACCACTAGTACTAAGGTATGGGGAAAATATCAAACAATTGCAACGAACCATAATTTTGGATTTAGGGTTGAGATATATGATGAATGGTCTGGAGGTTTATTATTTTCCATATACATGTTCATGTAGAGTAGATTATTTTCGTTCTCTAGGACCATTCCTTATTATTAGAACTATTTTCGCCCAGGAGAAGATTTCATCAGTCCATGCAATAAACATCATCAAGCCTTCGATCTCAACTCTCTGCTATGAAGGCGATGAAGCTTTAATGCATGAGCATATTATGGGATACAAAGTACTCTCTCAAAGTGGCAAATTTTTATTTTTCCCAACAAAAGTGAACAAATCTTCAACAAACTACACAAAAGTGAACAAATTTTCAACACTGCTATGCACATTCCATGCTACATGCAGCATAAGATGAGTAGCAAGAGACGTGCTAACCGCATTACAAACTATCACTCAAAGTACATTCAATCACATACATGCACTTTGAACGTTCACACTATACTTATAAGTTCTAACAAAGGAATGAATAACCCCTTATGTAACACTCAAATCAGCTGAAAACAAATCTGCATTCATCTTCTGCTGTATTGGTATATATATAATTGCGCTGCTAAGTCATAGGAGACGACAAACATATCATGTACATACATACTTCTACAACTAAATTTAGCACAACATTATTACTGAATACTACATAATAGCAACATGTGTATCTCAACAACAGATGCGAGGTGCCTTCCTAAGTCCCTCCAGCTGAGCTCAACATCTGAAAATAAGTCTCAAGTTTCTTTCTCAACATCGCATGTTCTTGCTTTATCATCTGAAAAGTCTTGACACACCTAGAAACATGTGGAATCAATTAAATCATTGCAGTTGAGATTAACTCAAGTAACTTAAAAGGAAAAGAATTAGTGAATGTAATGTGATTGGGATTTTATTGTACCCTTCCGCTATTCCTGCTGCACAATATTTCCTGAACTGTGAGCATTCGAGTACTACTTTCTTAGCTCCAATGCTGCAAAATTTGCAAATATGAGGGAAAAATTGAGTTATATTCACTTTTTCATTTATTAATTTCTCCTAACAAGTACATCAGTCAATAAGCAGGAAAATACAAAAAAATAAAATATGGCTCAGCTAAACATATGGATCTTCAATTCTGCTATGTATATTTCAATACACGCCTCCATTTCATATATAAAATACGTCAATTCTAAGCTATGAGTCATAAGTTTAACTAAACAATTCATACCTTGAGCTACTGCCCTTAAACTGGTGCATGTAGTTGTCCAGCTTCTCAAAGTCAAATGGATATTTTGCACTGTATGAATTTATCAATCAATATGCTGTACAAAGACTGAAGCCAATATTAGATCGTTGGTCAGGTAAGAGTATACTCACAGTGCTTGGTCGATGTTTTGGATCAGTCTAACTGAATCAGTGTAATATGAGGTTACAATCTCCTCAACAAAATCAGGGTTGGCATCATCCTGTAATTCCTCTAGTTGAATAAATTGCTCATCAAGATATCCCTGCAGCATTGGCATCAAACATTCAAACTACTAATCAAGAATTCATGACTGGTAGTGGCAAAGCTGCATGCATCTGGCCTCCTCAGACGATTTGACCCTCCCAACAATGTGACCAACAGTAGAAGTGAAATTAAAACTGCAGAGCAAACCAAAATATTTCTAATAGATTTTGAACAAGAAACTTTCGAGTTTGAAGTGTCTCACCCACAAATTATCTACACAATTACCCTAGCTTCCTCTTAAAGTAGTCAGTCAGTCACATGTCAAGTGCATTCATCTTAAATCTCGTCCATAAAATTAATTTTCATATACTTGCACAATGAAGAAATTCCTTGAGAATATAAACTCAAGTTATTATTTAAATACAGCTTGTCTCCATAATGTGTATAAACTCTGCCATATTTCTAGTTAATGAGTTTCAATGGTTTTACATTATCCTCAAGTTCAGATATTACACTATAATTTCCAATTTTTCAAAAAATCAGAATGCAGAAACAGCAATGACTCCATAGTAATCCAAGCAATGATGTCCAGCCTTTCAAGGGGATCTCTTGATCCATTCATCATTTTTTTAAAAAAGACATGTTTGTGAAAAGAAACCAATAGCTATAAGTATCAGATGCATAAAAGAATAGAAACACTAAACCTGGTCAAATAGAGACCGCCTTAATTGCACAATTTGCTCTTGCAAAGACCGAGTATCCATTCTAGATTTATATAGTTGAACACAGGTCTCAACGGACATGCCTTATAAGCCAATTGATACTAGGCACGGATTGTCTAAACACATCAAAGAGCTACGAGTATTTATATAGTTATGATTCTTCAGCATGCAGTCAGAGATGCAAGATTTTGCTTTCTGACTGAGAATATGAATAGACAGCAGTCAATATCCTTATCCTTATGAACAACCAAGCAGATTCTTTTGTACCCACGTTACAATAGCCTTGAAATTGGAATCTTCTTTTGCACTTCTATCATTTCCTTACACCTATAGATGGATAAGTACATTCAAGTAGAAGGGAAATGAAAAGGAGGAATTAAAAGCAAGATTTGAAAGACTTGGGTGAATGTTAGGACAATTCTTTCACATTAAAAGAAGAGGGGGAACTTATTAAACGTGGATACAGGGTTGCCTTATTCTCTCATGAGATATTTTTCAGTAAAAACCATCTTAGGAAGGGTTTAGACACCATCATTATGCTATAAAATCTATTGGACACTATTAGGCATTTCCTTTTCTTAACTTTCTATGTCACAACTGAGAAATGTGATGTAAGCAGAGTAAAGACTTCAAGTGATTTCCGTCCAACAGCCTTACAGGCGGTTACAGCCAGACTAGAGAAGCACAACATAAAGCAAATGACAACTCCAAAACTGAAAAATTAAAGTGATCATACAGAGTAGAACAAAATTAAAAAACCATTTAGTGTTTAATCACAGAAGGGTAGGCTCAAGTTTGATCTTTTGTGTCTAACCTATGTGGCTATATATAGATAATCCACAATCATTGGCGGATCTACGTAGTAACAAGGGGTAGCAAATGCCACCTCCAGAAATTTGGTATAAAAAAATTAAAACTGAAGTTTTATACTAAATGCTAAACATTGCTGCAGTGGTACAAGGAGATTTGCTAAACTTTGAGTTGTGGGGCAAGGCCATGGTTCGACCCTCAACTTCTCTATTTTTTCATGACTTTTTCCTTTCTAAGTACAAAGTTCTTTTACCCATCTTTCTAGTACTTAAAACCTATCCTTGTTCTTTGTTCCAATTCAATTTCTCCCCTAAACTTTATTTTTCTTTTACTATGTACAGGTATAAGAAAACTACTAATAAGATTAAAAGTAATTTAAATCCTCCATTACTCGTATCTAATTTATCATTACTCTTATCAATAAGATTAAAACTATTAATAAGATTAAAAGTAATTTAAATTATTTGCAAAGTGTGAAGTATTTTATTTACCATAATGATAAATTAGATATGAATTGGAGTACAAAATTGCTAGTATTAATTTAAAAAAAAATATTAAATTTGATACTTCATACTAATATACTATTATGCAGTTTTTTTTTTTTATTTTTTATTTTGTTATTTTTGTAATTATATTTGATAAGTATAATATATCTTAGTAATAATTTTTTGAATAAGTTCTCAGTCAAATGTATGCATGTCCAAAATCAAATTATCAATTAATAAGGAGCACAACAATCTACTAACACATCACTGTCAAAAAAAAAAAAAAAAAAAAAAAAAAAAAAAGGAACTACCACAATGCATTACATCGAAAAAATCACTCGGGTATTATTTTGCTTTGGGGTAATTTTTTCATATAAATCCATAAAATAAACTCTGATTTTAATTTTAGTTTTAAATTTTCTTAAACAACTACGCGCTACTATGCTACCCCTGATTGGAAATCCTGAATCCGCCACTGTCCATAATACTTAGAAACTAAAACAGCCTTACTTTAACATTCTCATTAAACATTACAAATCTCTGTCGTTTCATTGACGGGTTTTCATAAATTCAAGACCGAATACACATGTACAGTAAAATCATTATGCACACTATATTATGCCCAGGAGAATCCAAGCAGACAATGAACATTAATACAAAGATAACGAAAAAGTGGAAAGAACCAATAAAAAAAGTGCAACATTATACTAAGTTCATAAAGGCATAATGAACAAGAACAGCCAATTTTTAACAATCCAAAGGGGAATGGATGATAGTCATTGTAAAGCAAAGTAATATCAAAAAGTAAAATCATTATAATGTTTTGAGGATGCTTCTCTATTCTGCTTTGCATTTTACGCAATGCTTATTTACATTAATTCTAAACAACTCTTAGATTGAGGTATATGGTTACAAATTTGAAGTTCTTATCTTATTCCACTGGGAACCAGGAAAAGAAAATGCACCCAACTCCGATTGAAATGTTACTATCAAAGAATAAGATCCAATACAAACAGTGGCTTGCCATTTTGATGTTGGTAATGGTAAGTAGTATCACAGCTTTTGATCATCTCTAAAGGCCATACCCTCTGTTCAGCAGGACCTAAAAGGCTAAAATACCTCCACATGGATTCCAAATGTTCTAAGCTAAGTTTCATTAAGCTCGTTTATAAAGTGCCCACAAATAGAAATCATGGAAAACTAACCAAAGTGCTAAGGCTGGTCTTTCCAACTCATGACATGATTGTAGTTGTTCATTTAACTACATGTATTCATCGTAATCCAAGCTCACAACATGAATGTACAGATTCAGATATATAATTATACTTCAATACCATCATCTCCAATAGAATGTCTAGTTTCCTGATATTTGATGAAATTGGACTGCCAAGAGAAAGGAAAAAAAAAAAAACTAATGTTATGCATCTTTTAGTAGCATAGGTTTTTGTTTTTTTTTTTTTTTTTTTGACAAAAGAATTTCACTTCATTAAGAAAATGATGAAATGACATAATGAGTCTTTTCTTAAAGTAAATAATATTGGCCCTGTTTGGCAACGAGAATTTAGCTCTTAGCTATTTGTACGAGTTTTTTTTACTAGTTGTTCGTACTAGCTGTTTGTGTAAAAGTATTTGGTAAATAGGTTTTTATTGTGTAAATTTATTTTTATTTTTTTTGACAAAATTGTGTTAAGTTACCAATAAGGATAATATGCATGATTTATTATTAGCTTGAAGTCTCGAGCAAACTTAGTAAAGGCAGTAAATTAAATCAATCTTATGAAAGAAGAGTCATTTCCCCTCAACTACCACAAACCTCTCTCATAAAAAATCATTAGCTTAATCAAAATTAGCTTTTTGGACCCAAAACTCTCTTAACCAAACACTCATATTAGAGACTTGAGTTAGTCAAACCTTACTTTTGCCTCAAACCTCTCTATTTGCCCCAAACCTTTCCGAACAAAACAACCCTGATATTAAGCATTCTATGCCTTAAATTTATTCCTAAAGCACATATCAACCGTGATGATCATTGATCATAGCATAAAGGTAAAAGCACAGTTTAAAATCATAGAAACAGTGATTAAAAAAACCATAGCATCATCCAACAAACTCAGGTAACACCATATTTCTCTCTTTAATTTCCCAAATATTAGATGAGTAAATACTTTATTCAACATTATTCTTCCTTCAGTTTTTCCCTTCTAATGCCTCCTTAACCAGAAAACGGCGTAGAAATATAAATAAATAAAAAAAAGGTCGTCCAGTTTGTACTGCCATATTCCTCCCTGCTTTTGTTGAGAAGTTTCTCAAGCAACTTCCTCATTAATCATTGCACTAAAGATTAATCTCCATTAGAGATTACACGAGAGATTTTCTCCCATTCTAAAATAAAAGGAGACTAAGAAAACTGGAAAAAAATCATGATCTTTTTGGTGGGATTATGCAAATTATATAAGCTTTATGTATCCCGAAATAGATTGGAAAAAGATTAGTCATTGATACAATCAAACTTTCAAAAATATTTTTATAACTTTCACATAGCACAGAGTTTACAACTTGATAGTCATCAATCATAATTGATAGATATATACAAAAAGTAGACATCCATATCATCTTCAAACGGCTCATCACCACACAAGTGTTATTCATTAGAAAAAAAAATTGTTAACTTGTCATCAAAATACGTATGGTACTAAAACATAGATTGAAAAGGAACCAAAATATCAGAGATAATTTTTATAAAAAGCTAATGAAAACCTAAATAAATCTTGTGCAATGATTAGAACATACCTTAAATGAGCATGTTGGTCCATCATAAATCATTCTCTGGTAAGCTCACTGAGTATCTCAACCAAAGGACTCGTGTCGAGCCAAGAAGTCTCCATCTCACTTCATTTTTTATAAAAGGAAACTATTTGTTCCTTCATTGCTGTGATTTCTGCAAATGGGTATGGACCACATCAATAAACAAAAGCAATTGGTTGGCGACCTGAATCTACTAATCATTTATTCTTGACTTTCTTTTTCCACCCTTTCTAATTTCTGAGACATGCCACACAAGATATTCTAGCTTTCTTTCATAGTCTCTAGACTTTGATGTTGATAAGAATTCCATCTCAAGACATGATAAAATCGTACAATGAGGTCCATCCCTAAAAATGCCGTGGAGAAGACGTTGCAATACAGCCAACTTGACAGTTTTCATGAAAAGGAATGCATTCTACTTGAGATAAAAAGATTACTCGACTTATGAATGAATTCTGATTAAGAAAGAGGAAATACTCTATTTTGTAAGCACAATGATTTGAGATAAGCACAAAATTTGTGTGTTTTAGACTAGCATCATTACAATGCATTCTACTTGAGATAAAAAGATTACTCAACTCATGACTGAATTCTGATTAAGAAAGAGGAAATACTCTATTTTGTAAGCACACTGATTTGAAACAAGCACATAGATGAAAGTTGTGTGTTTTAGACTAGCATCATTACAATTTTCGACATCCAATGTGTTTCATGAAATCTTAATAGAAATTTTATGTAACAGCATCCATCGGTCAATAATTTTATTCATGCAGAGTATTTGCCAAAAAAGCAAAATGCCGTTGTGAAAGAGCCAATTATGATGGAGCACTATATAACTATATAGCTAAACCCTGAGCTAACAATCTTTGCAACTGTAAAAACTAAAAAGTAGTTGTTGCTTTAACATCTCTAACTCCCTTGATTCTTCTTTATAACCAAAAATTTCAAATTATGAGTCTTTTTTCCATAGGAGTTATAATGATTCATTTTGAGAAGTTTGTTACGTGAGCTTAAGCTAGTAATATCTATATACTGTGAAAAAACTAAAGAGGCTAAACTAATGATATAAGCATACATGACTAGGTAAAGAACAGAAAGCCAGAAACAGTCTGAATCAAAGTCCAGAATGAGTTGTGCCTGACATAATGCATTAACTTTAGTTCGAAAGGGGGGAATATAGAAAATGGAAACCCAAATAGCAACCCAGAGAGGGAATGA